TCCAATGGCACATTTGATATTTATGTATTGATTGAAACGATGAAGCCTTCTTTACCAAGCCACCCAAACTCCACTTTTGATGCACAGCGTACGGAAATATTCCACCACATATTGACTACTTACAATACCAGGTCTTCCATCTCTTTAATCTACATATCCTTGGAGCGCATCTTCTTGAGACGCAGTCCACCCTCAAAGACACCGCGGTCAACAGCAGCGGCGACGGTGAGAGTGCCGCCAATGATGGCACAAAGGCCGGTCAAGAAACCAGTGAATGTTTTGGCGCGCTCTTCGCGGTTGATGACCTTCATAGGAGAAATATCCTGGACACGTTCGTGTGAGTGAAGGAAGTCGAGGACGCGGGTATGGAGGAACTTACGTAGGAAAAGAAGACTCCCGGGATGCCGCCACGAGAGTGGAGGCGTTCCTGGTGTCCTTCGGCAGAGTCATCGCCGCCAGCCAAGCTGCGCTTGTGGCTCGTGACGGAGTATTGGTGAGTCTCGACGCTGCCGTCACTTCCCTGGCCAAGAAGACCGAGGCCAGAGTTCTCCTCCTCGGGGTTGGATCCCTTCTGCCAGTTGAGAGCGAGGTAGGAGGTAGGCACGATCTTGACAAAGTACATGAAATTGTAGTTGGGGTCGTTGGTCTCCTGGTGGGTGTTGTCGAGAGGGTTACCGTGGTGGTTCGTCCACGCAGCGGCGCGCTTGCCCATCTTCTTGGTAACGGTGTCAGGCAGCTGGGGGCCGAAGCGCAGGGAGTGAACAGTGTGAGTGAAGTCGTGCTGGGCATCGGAGGGGGTGTCCCAGTAGTTCTTGAGGTCGTGGACGTGCATGTTTCCGTTGCTGAAACTGCGGCCAGGGGCAAGGTGGAAGTTTCCGACGACCTTGTTGACGCGCAGGTTACCCTCGATACGGCAGCCCTCCTGGCGCTGCTCCTCCAATCGCTCGGCGTAGTGCTCGCGCGTGCACTGCTCGACGTTTTCGCCCTTACCGAAAGCCCACGAAGCCTGCGCGTACGCCTCTCTGACTTCCTCGCATGTGTTGCAGCATCCGGCCTTTTGCGCGTTCGCCGGTGACGGGGCGCCATAACAGGGGCCGCAGTAGTTGGGGTCCAGGTGCTCAGCAGCCTCATCACGAGAGTGACTGCCGGAAGGTGTTAGAAAAAGCTCCTCGGCAGGAGGCGACATTTGCAGTTACTTACAGATCCAGGGCCTTGATGTCAATGACACCACCACCCTCCTTCTGGGGACGAAGGCGAACCTTGTTAATACCGTGCTGAACGCCGTGCTGTTGCTCGCCAGAAACATCCATGACGTCCAGGGTGAGGAGCTCGCAGGGCATCTTGGGGAAAGTCATGTTGAGATGGATCTCCATGCGCTCGCCTGTTACCGGGTACACATTAGCTCCTACTGCCCGTACAGATTAGGAGAGACTGCCAGGGCTTCATACCTCTTCCCTTGTCCACGATCAACTCGGGGTGGATCTCTATCCTCCGGTAGTCAACCCATTCTCCCCAGGCCAGCCAGAAGACCACGATCAGCGACACGATAGTGACAATTCCACCAGACGTTGTGCGGATGCGTGCTTCGTCGACTGTCTTTGTGAAGGCGTCGAGCCTTGTGAATCTCGATTTTGCCGGCATGGTGAGTTCGGGGGGAGGAGTGTGTTATCAAGAGCTGTCGATCTCTATGGCGAGTTTGGGGTAGCCTCGTAAGCGTTGTGAGAAGAATCAACGGGAGTAGGCCAAAAGTCGTACTTTCGCAACAATGCGCCAAGCAGAATAACGCTAAAAGGAGTGGCGGAGAGGTAAAAGGTGATATCAGGAAGTGAGAGACCCCGCCTGAACCATGAGAAGAGAAGGTCGACGCGAGAAAGTCGAGTTGGAAGCAAGGTAGGAGGATTGGATCTCACAAAGCCTTGGGAGTTGCGCAAATCCAAAGTAAAGTAGAGGCCACCTTCACTCGTTTTCTGGCCACGCAGCCCGTCCACGGTCCAGCTCTCAATTGCGCTAAAGGTGCATCTTGTCAGGGGTCTCGCACGGGGCGGGCGGGTCCGGGTCCCTGGGTAATTGTCGGCCGTTGGCCAATGGAAGATGCCGTTAGACCACTAGAAGCAATCCAGAGTCAGATGGCTCGTGCTTAAGCTGCGCGGTTCCCGTCCCCACTGTAAAATCCCAGCCTGGTAGTCAAGGCTGGAGAATGCAGTGCTTTCTGATCCAAAAGGCAACCTCCAAGAAATCATCACCGTTGCGCCGCCCTTCGACTGAATCAAATTGATACCCACGACACTTTAAATCGAGGATTCGATACCGAAAGAAGAGAACGCTGCGAATTGTCCAACGAACGCGATACCCAACGTCCCTTTGACCGCCTTGGCGAGCGCGTACTGAGCGAGTCTTGTGTGCCGACCATCGAACCTTCATACCGTGATGTCGAAGCCGCCTTCCAGAGTTGTCTTCGTGGGCAATATCCCCTATGGTAGGAACGAATTTCCCACAAGACTCTATGTATCTAACCAATTGTCCTAGGCCTTTCCGAGGAGCAGATCAGCGACATCTTCAGCAGCGCCGGCAAGGTCCTAAACTTCCGCCTAGTCTACGACCGCGAAACCGGACGGCCCAAGGGTTTCGGCTTTGCAGAATATCCAGACAATGGTATTTCTCAGGAGAACCCTACTGCTCTTAGAACCTAGACTTGACTGACTATACGGCGCAGACTCCGCAGCATCGGCTGTCCGCAACCTCAACGACTATGAGATTATGGGAAGGAAACTTAGGGTCGACTTTTCCAACGAGGGCGGCAGTGACGACAACAATGATAGCCACGGACACGTACGTATAGAGATACAGCCCCGCATTTGAAGTTGGAATCTGACAATGGAAACAGGGCCGAGATGGCGGCAACCCCTCCCACGCCTCGAACGGATACAACCCTGTCGCGCCGCCGATGCAGTCGAGTACGCTGCCTCCTCTCCCAGCCGGCAAGGAGCTGCCCCCGAACGTCACAGCAACCGACGCCATCTCACGGACTCTCAACACCCTTCCCCCGTCTCAACTCCTCGATATCCTCACACAGATGAAGGCGCTGGCCTCTACCGACCCCGCCAGGGCGACGGAACTTCTCCAGCAGGCACCGCAACTGGCATACGCCGTCTTCCAGGCTCTCCTGCTCATGGGTCTGGTGTCTCCCGAGGCGATCCACTCCGTCATCGAGCCTGGCGGCGCGCCCCCGGCGCCCCCACCGCAGGCCGCGCCGATCGGTTACCCGCCACAGCCCACCCCCGGCTTCCCGCCGGTCCCCGTGATGGGAGCTAACAACACCCCGCCTGTCGCCGGCACGCCGTACGCGCCTCCCCCGCAGCAAGCTCCCTATGGCGCACCCCCGCCGGTTGCTGCACCTCTGGGTCAAGACCCCGACGCTCTCATGCGGCAGGTTATGGAACTGCCGATGGAGACGATCAACATGCTCCCCGAGGCAGAGAGACAACAGATCCTGGCGCTCCGCGCAAGCTTTGGTGGACAAAGGCGATGAGCATGGTATACTTGCCCTGGTGCATGTGCGAGCTGTGGTGTTCAGCTTACGAGCTTGACATCGCTTGGAGCAACCCAGGACTACTATTTTTGGGCAGACACGTCACTCTGATCGATGGTAAAGACTTGAGATTGAGAAGATGTGGGGTCCCCCCACGTCCACAGCTTCTATACTAACTCCGAACATCCCACCTGGCTCATGGTAACGAAACGGAACCTTGCGGATGGTTGCTTCGTGAGCAAAGAGGCTCATACGAAGCTATTCTTAGAGGAAAGCTACCCTTGTAGGGACCAGATGAGGGGCTCAATGGGGTCTTTGCCAGATAATTGCCCCTCCAACAACCACCTTAACCACTCTACTTTACTCACCCAAATCATCACAAAACGACTTTCTACCGATCATTTAGCATCTGAGCCTCGGTAGGGCCTGAAAAAACACGGGCGTGTGGGGAGGCCGGAAGGTGGCGTTGAATGATGGATGGCGTATTTTTTTGAGAGCTGCGCCTCGATTCGCAGCAGTGGCGGGGCCGAAAGGTCTTTTTTGTGTTTTCTAGCAACCAAGTTTTTCTTCTCCTAGAGTGCGGACGAGGCAGATCACGAGGAACAAAAAAAACCAACGCGGCCAAGTCTAAATATACCACACTTTACACTCGAAAACGAGCTGAGCATCTTGTTCAGCTCAGAGAAAAACTTTATTTACTTTCCGGTGTGCCGTTGACGCAAGCTGGTGGGGGGAAGGCGAAAGTTGACGACGAGACCGGCCACCTGGCCAACAATGGTTTGCTGCGGCTCATGGAAAATGCGACGTGAAGGATAGGTAGGACAACTATAGCACATCTTTGCCACGACCTTTAGCTGTAGAACAAACAAGATCACTTTTGTAAACGGTTTCAATTCATTGCTGTCCATCCGTCTTAAACGGCGTGTGGCTTTGATACTCTTTGCAAGATGAGATAAGAGATATATACCAAAAGAAATAAATAAAATAGATACCGGGACAATGTTTTTTCTTAGGGGGGGGGGGTGGTGTATCCGATACCGACAAGCAACTCTAAATGGCAAAGAAAGATGCCCTGTAAGGCGACTGGAGAAGCTGGGTTTCAAAATGCCTACAGAAACAGGTTTCTACTGATAGGACAAGTTGACTGCACATTCGTACGGGTGTAGAATGCTGGGTGGAGCAGCACTCCGCGGCGGACAGGATTTGGCCGTGATGGGACTGAGTTTTGTCTGCGGAGAGTAAGTACTTTACTCAAGATATCTCATGCATCGCACCCGGTCTTCCTGGCCCTGGCAGAGGTATATGCCGGGGCCTAGCGAGGAGGGTTTTACATCAGACATTGGATAGCGAGTATCTTCGACTTCCCAAGTTCTCATTCGCCGCCGCCCGCCGCCACGTACATGGCTGCACTCAAGGTGACGGGAGAAGGGGGGGGGGGGGGTGATATCATGTTTCTGTGGCAGTTATCACTATGCGCGCCACAGTGAGTCGTGACCAGACGAGAGAACTTCATGCGGCCAAGGAAGAGAGACTTGCTTTGTGTACTGCGATATGGGGTGCGATTCGGTGGGATGAATCGGCAGCTGTAACCGGGGGCCCATCCTTTCAAAATCATGTGGCTTGGTAACCTTGGCCGGAATGGTGGGAGTTGGCAAGCGAAAAAAAAGATGGGACGAGATACGCTGAAGTTTGAACAATGTTGGACGGAATTGCAGTGAAGTTCTAGACCTCCCCTAAGGATTAACGACGTCCATCGCTAGAACTTTAGTTCGCCACTCCAACACCACCCGCCGCATCGCGGCCGTGTTCGATGCGGTACACGAGCCACGCGAGCAGTCAACCCTCGTATTGGAAAAAAAGAGTGTCCAATAAATGTGGTGCTCTGTGGGTGGCCCCATTCGTGCTTCTGAGTCGGGAGCGAAACAAGCCACTTGTCTCACAGAAGCTAGAAGCCCATCGGGAGAGTAACGTCGTTCCTGAATCTTTTGCACTTTGCATGCAGGGGATTGTGGAGGAGGACGGAGAAGAAGGAAAAAAAAAATGGGGGAGGAGGAAGAGGAGGAGTTCTTTTTGTCAGAGAATGTCAATGGGCAGAACATCCGAGTCCGTAGCGAATGCGCCGTAGGAGCTGTGTCTCCCTATGCATTCGTGCCACACTCTTGTGTAGGAAAAGGAGGAGAAAATTGACCTTTCAGAAAAGGAATGATTTTTTTTACTCACATGGCGGAAGCTGCAAGTTGGGGGAGTCTTCACGTTCTATCATTGGTCGCGTCCACATAAACCGTTAAAATGGGTTCATCTGAGGGCACCCCAAGTGCAACGAATGAACGAACGACAGAGGCACCGACAGAAGGGATGATGGCCGCAGGCTGAAACGACCTGACAGGTTGTTATACATACACGGTATAGTACCGTAAGTCTGATGGTTGTTGAAAGTTGTCAGTGACATTGAGTTGTGAATGACGAGCATGGATACAGCCGAAACCCCGATTACTCAGGTAGAGACCGCGGCTGGCAATGATGGGACCGCGCATCTGCGTATTCTTCGCATCTTTTGCAGAGGTCGCCGTCAACTGAAGTGTGCTCGGTAATTGGTGCATCGTCACGGCTGCTTTTGGGTGTTTGTTGACGCGGCCTCCAGGATCGACGTGGGAGTGAGCCGCCGTGTAATTTCCCCAGCCGAAAGAAGGTTGAGTTTTGTAAATTTCCCGTCCTTGAATTGGCAGTCCATGTAGGTCATATGTTGGCAGAGAAATTTTCGAGGTGTAATCCTCCGTGACTCCGTACCGTCTTGGGCAGTCTTCCTTCTTGATTCTTGCCGGGGAAACAAAAAAGAAGGGTCCCGGACCATGCCCCATAGACCATAGGAAGGCTATTGGCAATTGCAGCGGCACTGCATGTTGCAACGTCGCACTAATAAGGTTGTATGTATCCATAGGAAGAAGGTCGTAATGAGCGCGGTCCCCAAATGGCACATGTCTTACCTGCTGGGAGGTACTCCGTACGGATAGGTACCAATATCGAGTACCAAAGTAGACGAGAAAGCAATTCAAAAGTTCAAAAGAAGGTTTTCCGACGATGCTTCGTACTCTGTTGGTTCATGGGATGAGCCAATGAAACGCGGGGATGACTTCCCAATCCAGGGGCATCACGCTGCAGAGAGCGGGAAGCGAAATAATTAGAGCCCCCTCGGAGTGGAGGAAAAAGGAGGGCAGGCGGCAGGCGGGACATGTGCCATGTGGGATTCGAGAGAAAATTGGGAGGGAAATAAATGATGCTGACAGGCTTGGAGCGGATATGAGAGGGGATGCTGTCGTCCGTGAGGCCATCGTCGATTCGTCATGTGCGACCTATTGGTTTCTGCTTTGATTGTTTATGTTGTTCTGGACCGTCGCTCCGTGGCATGTGGCTCCGTTTCTTGGGGGGAGGGGGGATTGCCAATTGGTTTATTTTGGCGTCCGTTCCTTTGTTGTTGATGGGGCTGCTTGCTGGGAAGTTGCTGCTCAAGCCCTTCCAGCATCCAGGTCGAACCGTCAAAGACCCAAGGGTGCGTTCCATTGGGGGTTCTCCCGTTGACGAGTGATTCGCGAGTGGACGGGACCGACGATCAAGACGACACATCGCCATGTCTAGTTGATGGAGGATGCTCCGTAGCAGCTCCGTAAATCTAGAGCTGGCGTCCGTTAGTGTAAACGGTTAGGCAGGGTAGGTGGAAAGGTACTGGACGGTGGGCCTTTAGCAGTAAGATAATCTCCATCGTGGACATGGACAGTCGTCGCACAACAACATTTTGCACAGCAACGATGCGGATAGCTGTTTGTGCATAACAGCGCCCGGCCGTCTTGGTAAGGTAGGCCGAGAAACAGCAGGGAAGAGATGTTGGAGAGGAAGAGAAGAACAGAGTTGTGTGGTGTTGCGCCAGGCGTTGATCTCTCGATGAATGGTCCAGATTTCTGGCGCAGCGTGTTCTAGCCTGGGTCTTCGCCCGTGTTAGTGCAGCGACAATGTTACTAAAGTTAGGTCTCCTGGCCATCCGCTAATAAGGAAATGGAATGGAATGACGAGAAACGCACTTCAGTCCGGGGCAGCGTGCGGATACCTCGTATGCACTATTCCCTCCCCTCTAGCTACCTAGCATAGTGCTCAGTGCGTGGGTGCCTTAGTAAAGCCCGGGCATGGGAAGAGCTCCGTCAGGTTCAGGACAGCTCAGAAGAAAGCTGAGTCGAGGATGCCGCTAGAACGGCTCTTGCTTAGATAGGCAGTGATGAGCGACACCTGAAGCCTGGAGCCTGAGGGAAGAGGCTGTTGCGCTTCCTGCGTGCCTATCTGTTAAAGTTCCTCCCATCCCGCCCGGGAATGCCTTAGGTGCTTAAAGTAGGTTGATGGCTGGGCTATTCTGGGCGATTCTTATTGCTGCAGGAACTGTACTCCGTACTCTAAACCGGGAAGAACGAGAAGGAAGCGGCAGTGGAAGCGGGAATGACCGGTGGCAGGGCTGTTACTTCCAGGCTGAAAAGCTGTTGCTTCCCATTCCAACTTCTGGCCAACAGACTCGGGAAGGTACGAACCGAATACCTTACCTGCCAACTCACACCATAGATGATACAAAAAAACCGCGATTCCATGATTATTAGGTAAGGCACCTCAGGTAACCTCTATGTTGAAGAAGGAAATGCATTCCCTTTGGTCTTTCTTTCTCCGTTCAGTGTGGCAACTGGCGACACGAGATCATCACCTCATACCAAGGTGCGCAAAGGAAGCGCAGCTTCCGTACCGAAGATGGTTGTGTCCTTTGCCGTTATGCATGTCAAAGCAAGCCCACCTGACGTGCTCTACGATCTACACCCACCGCATCTTTCATCATGGCAACGAAGGACGTACATAAACTCATGAAATAAGGTACAGGCAGGTGCAGAGACGAGAGGTACGGACAAGGCATACACTCCTGCTATGCACCTAGGCGCGGCTCCCACGTTGACCTGAAGATGACTATGCCTTAGACTCTCACGTATGTTGACGACCAAACCGAGCGCGTACCTGACTGAGCATTGAATATCAGCCATACCTAAGGTAGACTCACGTACAGTATACAGTCCCGGGCTGCTGATTGCCACCGAACCTCGGGTCACAATGTCCAAGCCACCTACACAATCGGCGTGAACGTGGTCGTCGACGGTCTAGAAGGAAAACGGAGTGTGGCGCGCTACCTACCTTACGATTTGCTACGGACGACGACGCATTGGCATTAATGAACAAGGTGACAGCGACAGAGAAGAACTGGAGACGTCCCCGTTTCCAGTTGAAGCGCAGGGTCGCAAGAGGTCGCAGGGCCAGCCGCCACAGGGCTTGAAAGGTTGAAGGAGGGGCGTCACGGGCGGAAGTAGAGACCTTGCACCTTGCAGGGCCAGCAAGCAGGGATTAGACAGGGACGAGCGACAAGACAAGAAAAAAGGGGAAATTTGGGTCTTGCTGTTAGTGCATCGTGTTGCTATGCGATGCCATCCAATGACTGTTGTGTACCTGCACCCCAGACAACGCCATCGGCAGACGGCCAGCCATGATTTACAACTGCAGACACTAAGGGGTTTCAATAAGTGATGCTGCTGCTGCTGTACCTTACATAGGTACGAATACCTACATACCTTGATGTACCTAAGCACTGGGCTGCGTAGAAATGCATATTCTGGCTGCTTATGCGCGTGCAACTTTCACCGGTTGTTCCTGCTGTGTTTCGTGGGCGTCCGCCTGTGATGCCATCCCCTGTTGTTGCCCCTGCTTCCGTGCGGCGTGCCTCGCATGGGGGGCCCTGGCGCCGTCGTGGCTGCGGATACATGTGGTCGTGCTAACTCATCCCTTGAACGTACCGCGGTACGTATCCCTACCCTCTACCGGTCTCGATGCCCGTGCTCCCAAGTGAGAGGCACCCACCTCAGGATTCCCATTCAGGAGCGTTCCTACCGTCTTGAGTATGGGAACGTGAGGTGTCGAATGGAAGGTGCTTTCCATCTTTACGGTACCTTACGGAGCACTGATGTCCCTGTATTAGCGTCGCGTTAGGTGCTAGACTCAACTCAGTCTGTTCCTTGCGTCCCCACGATTGGCCCAATAACACCCTATCCCAGTTGACAAGTGGAAAGTCACCTCTGAGTCCTCTCCCCTCCCTAGGGCCCCAAAGTGCCCAAGTGCCCCCCCTCTGGGAATTCAATCCAATCCAATTCAATCCAGCTGCACCATTGCACTATTGCACCACAACCAGTTCCAGCCCGGGGCGACTCAAGTGCATTGCTTCTTTCCCTCTTTCGTCTCCTCGTTCATCCTCTTTCGCTTGCCTCCCCCGGCCGTTTTGGCACCTGCTCATCACCCCCCCCTCGTATCCGATTCTGGGGGGAAACAGAGATCGCTTCCATTCTTTCTTTCCCGCTTCTCGTCTCGCTTCCTCTCGACCTTTTCTCTTTTTCCCCCCCTTCCCTCCTAGGCTCCCCCCTCCCCTCCTCGTGTCCGTGTTCCATCATCTGTTCCTCGCGACAGATCGGGACCAATCCTTAGCACAGGCGTCGAAAGGAACCGTTTCCAGCTGCTCTCGGCCTGAGACCTCTTGCTACTTACCTTACTGAGCACCAAGCACCGGCCGGCCAGTTTGAATAAACCTCAGGTTACCTCAGGTTGTCTCTCGATACCCTCGAATCCTCTTCTTTTTCTTCCAACACTCTTTTCGTCTTTCGACCTTTCCCACTTGGCTGCTGCGCCTTCTTTGTTATCCGCCAGACCGCAGTGCCTAAAACGGACGCCCGCCTCCCGCTACCTTAGTGCGTACTGCTTGGATTCTAAGAAAGAATACTCTACCGATCCTCGAACCTGTTTATCCATCTGCAACACCAACTGAAAGGAAAGGCCCCCACGACGACATCCTTCCCAAAATATTCGACCTCAGATTCCATTTCTGCTTCTTCTTTCGCTCATCTTCGACCCGCATCGAAACTTTCTCCCGTTTTCGAGCGTCTAACCAATCCTGACCTCATTGTCCTCATGCGCGGTTGGTAGCATTCTCGGCAGCCACACCATCAGCCGGCCATCGACCTGTTATTCGACCTCTATGTGGCATCCTCCATTCTAGACTGACGCCATAACCGATCCTTCGGCTAAGACACGACCTGCACCGCCAGGATTCCAACCACCGACCACTTCTTAGGCTCGCCCGACCGTTCATTCTATCTGTTGTCGACTTCCCCAACGCATACGAGACCTGTAAAACAGCTGCATCGCATTGCATGGGAACTTAAAGTAACACGCGATTCGAAATCGACCGACCATGTCGCCGCAACGCCCAAACTTCATCGACCTTCGGGCGCCCTCGAGCATGTCCAACGTTTCGAGACCTTTGCGATCCCCTAGACTCCATGTCGCAGGCGAGGCACCCCCGGAATTGTCACCTCTCGATGCCTTCGCTCTTCAGAGTCGCCTGTTGGCGAGGCAGCTCCAAGCTGCCGCGAGCGGCGAAGGAAGGCGCATGAGCAGACTGCCACCTCTGACGACTGAAAGTCCTTTGGTCGTACAGGGCCGATCAGACTACTTTCGCTCTATGTCTAATGATTCAGGATCCGACGAGATGCCACTTCCTGAGCTTCAAAACCCAGGATTGGGACTTAGAACCGAGGTAGAGGACGCCTTCCCGTCTGAGAAAGATCGACCGGTCTCGGTGCACCCTCGAATGAGCCGCATTCCGCCTACTCCCGACGAGAACGAGCCTCTCCCAACGCCCCTGCCCGACATGATGCGTGGACGAGTATTGGATTCGATGGAGGAACACCAGGATGAGACGTACTTTGGCGCAAGAAGAGAGCAGTCCCCTACGCCAATGGAACACCCCACGAACGACTCTCACTTGCAAACCTCGCCTTCACGAAAAGATCATTCACTACCTCTGCTCTCGCCAGCACGGTCACGCGAAAATTCATTAAATGGATCGCCCGGCAAGTCAAAAGGACACTCGTTTGATGGACCTGGCTTGGCTCCTCCGCGACCGAGCTTCACAGCACGATCGGCGACCTCCATGTCTTCTCCCCTCGAAAATACTAGCGACGACATGAGCAACTCTGTTCAATCGTTGCCCCCGCGCAAACTTTCAAGTTGCAGCGCTTATGCGGCGTCAAATGCGTCACCCAACCTGAACCCAGGTCCTTTCCAACGCTCACCTTCCGTGTGCTCCGACGCCTCCATGCCATTACCGCGACCATCCTTCAACTTTTCGAGGCCCATGAGCCGAGCCGGCACACCTGGTTTGGAGACCCCAACGCGTCAGGCCTCATCCGACAGCCAACCGTCATTCATGTTTGCGAATGACGACTCTGCCAATACTCCTGTTAGCATGAACAGCGAGGGCTTCCCCGACCATGTGCATGACGATGGCAAGGCCGCTCCTTCGTACATTTATTCCAAGTACTCACTTCCCCGAGGCAAGATCGTGCAGCGATCTGTTCCTCTCGACCCTCACCCGCAAGCTTCCTTTCAATGGGAGCAGCCCGTGACTGCTCCAAGCAACGTGCAAGCTATCCAACGCGGAGCACCCCCATCTCCGCCAACTCGGCCATCTAGCTCAGCAGAGCCCGATAACCTCAGCTTGGGCAAGCCTTCCTTCGAGCAAGGAAAGCGCAGTCTCGATCGTGGTGGCCCGGCCCCGCAGCCATCCCCCAATCCCAGCCGTCCATCGACCGAGAGCCGGGCTTCAGAGGAGGATTCTCGGGGTCGTGCCCTTGTTTCTCAGGCCCACGATACTGCTGCTCGTGGTCAGACTGCCATGTCAACTACCACCAGTGATTCTAACAGCACTGTCAAGGCGGCTCGCTCATTGGCATCAGGTGCCCCGACAGCTTCAGACATGTCTCCGGAGGATCACCTAGCCAAGGGTATTGAATGCCATGAGAATGGCTCAGTGAAGGAATCCACCTACCATCTTCGCCATGCAGCGAAGGGAGGCAACCCGACAGGTATGCTTCTGTATGCGCTGGCATGCAGACACGGCTGGGGTATGCGGCCCAACCAGCGGGAGGGTGTTGAGTGGCTGCGTAAAGCAGCTGAATGTGCCAGCCTTGAAATCGCTGATGACGAGGACCATGTCAAGGAAGGAAAGTTTGTGGATGCCATGGAGAGAAGAACTCGTAAGGCACAGTTCGCACTCAGCATCTATGAGTTGGGTGTGAGCCATATGAATGGATGGGGTATCGAGCAGGACAAGGCTCTTGCCCTGAGATGCTTTGAGATCGCTGGATGTAAGTTGAGATTGCATGTTCTTGACGGATTCATGAAGCTAATGGTGTGAACAGCTTGGGGCGATGTAGATGCACTGGCCGAAGCAGGCTTTTGCTACGCTCAAGGAGTTGGCTGCAAGAAGAACCTTAAGAAGGCCGCTGGCTTTTATAGACAAGCTGAGGCCAAAGGGATGAACATGGTCGGCAACAGCTGGTATGTTTTACATGTAGCCCTCCAAGGGAACGGAATATTGGTATTGACAAGCGCCATCACAGGATTCACAAGTCAAAGTACAATGACGAAGACAAGCCTGCCAAGAATGCCCGCAGCAAGTCGAGGACGCGCACCATGTTCGGCATTAAGACTGGCTAGCGATGAGTCTTTTTGAAGTTCTTTTTGCGCGGAGCGTCTAGCGGCATTTCATGGATCATGACCACTTGCATCAACACATCACCTTCATACCCCGCATCTTCGGAGTTTCGGAAGACTGGCTCTGCGGAGTGCAGCTGTTTTTACTGGGCATTTAAAAACTCAGAGGCTAGGAATTGTGCCATTTTCTGTATTCAACGAGGTCTCAAAAAGTGTGACCTAAGGGAGGGGGGGGAATAAGGACGCCTCTCCCTACTTTGTTCTAACAATGTGTGCGAGGGATTTGGGTCCTGGAGAGGCTCTGGGTTTGTGACATAGGGACAAAAAAGTGATGGGTCCTTTCTGCGTGTCCAGACCTTGATCGAACATACCCTTGATTCCTATGTATATACCACTTTTGTCTTTTTTATTCTGGGAGGGAAGCAATGGCTCTCTTCATAGGGTACTTCATGGGGATTCCTTTTGTCGTACAAAATGCGTCTGCCTACCCAGTTGCGGTAGTGTAGCCAATGGATCAAATTTTTCGAAATCAAACTGTTGAGCAACCACTTTGAGTTGGCACGAACTGCTAGCAAGAGGTCGAATGGCCGTACTATGTCAAGAGGAATGGATGTTGACCAAAGTCTTGTGGAAGCATCCACAGTCAATGGCTATCGAAGCCCCTGTTAAGTAAATTATCGATGCTGTTCCATGTCAAAATAGTGATGGGAAGTTGGCACTTTGGGGGGAAACGGTTTGCGTCAGTCTCGTCTATTGCCATCATTGTATTGGTACAGAATCTTCCCGATATGGGAGTACTTCATTTAGCACGTCTTAAGAACCCCCACCTCCAGTTGCCTCGTAAACATCATGCATCTAGGTATCAACCTCCATCGCTTCACCGGCCGGCACCTCCGTTACGCTCACGTAGCGGCCAATCTCGTTCTTCTTGATAATCTTCTCGTTGAGCACGGCCGTGGTGCCCTTCTGGAAGGCGTAGCTCTTGAGCTTAGCGCTACGCTCGTTGGGCTTGACGAAGCCGCGCTTGAGGGTGGTCTTGTCCTTTGTGATGATGGCGACGTCGACGTTGCTTCCGGAGCCGAGATCGTTAAAGATACCGGCCTGGATGGCGTCGCTGGCGAGCTTGACGGCCTCGTCCTGGGTCAGAGACGGCTTCCACTGGGTCTCGAAGACGGACATGGCGGCCAGGGAGCCGGAGCCCATGGTGACGTAGGGGAGCTTGTCGGTGGAACCGTGGGCGTGGACGGTGAAGAGGTGGGTTCCCGTGGGGTCGACGCCGGCGACGACGAGGTAGGCACCAATGTGGCCCTGGTACTGGAAGAGGTGCTGCTTGAGCATGGTCATGCAGGTGACGACGCGGGGCTTGCGGCCCGTGGAGAGGGCGTGGAGCTCGAGGTTGGAGGATATGATTGCCGTGGTGAACTCGGTGTCGGCGGCGGTACCGGCTCCTGCACACCAAATCTGGGGAGCGATGTAGTGCAGCTTTTCGCAGTTCTTGTCGGCGACGATGGGACCGGAAGTTGCTCTTGTATCGGCGGCAATCTAGAGTGCACCTCGCTCTGTTAGCTGCTGCGGTTGAAGGCGAGGGATGCTATCGGGGTGGGAGAGGGGGGGGGGGGGACCAGGCGAATCCCAAAGGTTGCCATCGTTGCTCAAAGACGTGAATCGAATGGAGGGTACTGACCACAACACCGCCGTCGAATATGCATCCTACGATGGTGGTACCTGTGCTCGTCGCCTTGGGGAGGGGGACACCTCGGGCGTGGAGGGCCGCATTGCGGTTGTAGTTTGAGAAGTCGAAGCCGGGCATCGTTGCTGCTGCCTTATCTGGAAACCCCGGTCGCTATCCTATGTATGTGAGAAACCGTCGAATTCGTTCAAATAGTTTGTGGTCGTCAGTCGTGGCAGTCGAAGTTGGGTCCGAGGAGAAGTCGTCGAGAGATGAGGTGGGGATCGAGTGAGGTTGAAGGTGGACGCGGTAAACGGTAAGGTAGAGCTGGATGACGAGGCTAAAAGCTGCCTTCGATGGTCGTTGCCGCTGTTTGGGGGGGCCTGGGAGCTCCTGCACGCCTGCAAGGCACCCTGACATTCGACGGAGCTTGCCAGAGGCAGCAGTGATTGGATAGAGAGAGCCCCAGATCTGAGCTAAACCGAAGCTCACCGCACGTGACTGGAACATTTGGAGGGATTGGCAGGCGACCGGCCGGGGAACGGGGGGATGGGCCAAGCAAAGAGCTGGGAATTTTTAGGTAGCCATTCCTCAAAAAAAGTCCCAGGCCAAAAGACGAGCAACAGGTGCAAGATTCTTTTACGCATCTCGACTGGCGCCTGTCTCTCTGCTTTGCACCCAATTGCATCGCGTTTCCACGTGTGGGACGTCATAATACTTATTTCCTTCCAGATTTGAGGCGATTAGCCAGGCCTCATCCAGCTATTTTCCTTCTCTTTATCCCATAGCTGCCGGTTGCGACAGCAGCAAGATAGCCAAACCTCGTGGCTCAAGCAACAACACCCCCCAAGCTGAGTGCAGCGCGAAGCACCCTAACAACAGCAAGATATAGAAGAGGGGCAACAAGAAGACGAAAAAGAAAAGAAGCACAAGGGGAAAACTCTTATCAACAAACGCGACCCCTCCAGCGAATGCGAAGGACCACCCTGACTTACACGTCCTCCCTCCACAAGCCGGTCACGTCGCAACAGTCATGGCTTTCAGCTTCGCGAACCAAGGAAATGCCACGGCCGGAGGAGGAGGAGGACTGACTCAAGGCCCCGAGCTGGAGGTGATCCAGACCGAGGTGAGATCTGGTCACCGACACCGTCGATGCCGCTGTCTTTTGAAAGTTCGAGGCTCACCATGTAAATCTATTCAGGCGCTTGGTTTCAAGTCGATTGCAGGCGACGCGAAGCTCCGACTCACATCCGCCTGGTCCCCGCCGCCCGCCGATACCGCCTCGCTCATCAGCATCGCCTCCCGCCGAGGCCTCGTCGCCGCCGCCGGACCCGACGGTATCACCATCACCTCGACCGACTCCGTGCGCAAGGGCTTTGAGGGTGAAAAGGAAGGCGATTCCGATGTCCGCGCGTTCCAGCCGCAGGGCAAGCTGCCCATGCCTATGAGGGTGTCGCAGCTCGCCTTCAGCGCCGACGAGAACTACCTGATCCTCTCCGCCGAGAGCGGAGGCGGTCTCGCGGTATACGAAGTGGAAAGCCTGCTCCAGGGTGCCACGAAAGCTGCGTTCGAGCTTGCGACGAACGGCGAAACTTTGAGGGCGCTCTTCCCGAACCCCACGATCGAGAAGGCGGAACTGTGCGCCATTGTGACGAATAACGGCAACCTGCACATGGCGAACCTGAAGGAGAGGTCAGTCAGCAATGCTCTGAAAGCACAGGTTAGCTGCATAAGCTGGAGCACAAAAGGAAAGCAGCTGGTGGCGGGCTTGGCGGACGGGACCATTTTCCAAATGACCCCTGAGGGTGAGGCCAAGGGCGAGATCCCGCGGCCATCAAACGTGTCGAATGCTCACGGTAGGTTCTCGAGCTGACGGAACGCGCAACCATGCTGAACTAATTGACTACAGTATCGTCTCTGACTTGGCTGGAAAATCATCTTTTCCTCGCCATCCACACATCAACTTCGGAGTCCCCGCCAAATTCAGTATACCATCTCATTACAAGGAAGCTGCCATCAGATTTCACTTTCCAGAAGCTGAACGACCCCGTCGACCCGTTTGGCGCCGAAAAGCCGCCTCATCACTCAATATTGAGGCTCAAGGAATTCCCTCCCAACCTTTCAGATCTCCTCATCGTGGCATCGACCGTCTCCCCAGACATCGGCCTCCTCAGTAGGGCGAAGTCACCCCTGACCTCTGATCATCCAGTCGACACCGCCGGCGTCTTTACCACAACAGAACTGGCCGATGACTCGAAACGTGCCTCTCTGCCCATGAATGACAGCTATGAAAACACCATCCCCATCGGTGTTGCCCTTGATCTCTCAGCCAAGGACAAGGTATACAAGCCCTTGCCCGCCGATGAAGAGATTGAAGATTCTCCCGGCCCAGTGCCGGGTTTGTGGGTGCTGAACAATGAGGGTGTACTGAGTTCATGGTGGATTATCTACGAAGACTCCATCAGGCAGGGCACGACATACCCTGGCATGGCCGCGGTTGATACTTCCGCGCCCCCTGCGGGCGCATCCAGCTCGACACCAGCAGCAGCACCGGTGACGGCCCCAGCTTCGAACACATCAGCATTTGGCGCTCCTTCGAGCACCCCGGCCTTCGGTTCGGCATCCGCCTTGGGCTCAGGCCAAAAGGCCTCACCGTTCGGTTCCAGTGGATCCAAGATCCCTACATTTGGTGGCTCGTCAGCCCTGGGATCTAAGGCTTCACCATGGGGCGCTGCGACGACGTCTTCCGCCGCTCCCGCCGCTCCCGCCGCTCCCGCAGCCTCTGGATCTACGTTTGGCAGCGGTAGCCCCTTTGGGGGCAGCTCAGCTACATCTGGCTCTCCTTTTGCTCAGGCCTCCGCAACAAAATCAGCGTTCGGCACTGGCGGCTCTTTCGGAAGCCCTTCCGCCACAACTCCAGCTGCAAACAAATCAGCGTTTGGCAGTGGTAGTACCTTTGGGGCCCCTTCCGCTGCTTCATCGGATGCACCCAAGTCGACGTTTGGTAGCGGAAGCGCCTTCGGGACCCCCTCTGCTACGCCATCGGCTGCACCCAAGTCAGCGTTCGGCAGTGGCAGCGCCTTTGGGACACCAGCTGCTTCCTCATCAGGTCCGGCGTTTGGCCAGCCTTCATCAGTCGGTTTTGGTCAGTCGTCGTCGCTTGGACAGAAGTCCTCTCCATGGGCGTCAGGCGGAGCATCTGGTGCGAACACGTCTGCGTCACCGGCGTTCGGCCAGCCCAGTAGCTTCGGAACATCCGAGAATAAGAGTGTGTTCGGCGGTGCATCAGCAGCCAAACCTGCACCTGCGTCTGGGGGATTCTCTAGCTTTGCTAGCTCTGGTGGCTTTGGTTCCCTTGCAAATAAGGGCAACGAGGGTGGTAGTGTTTTCTCCAGCAAGACTTCGTCAAGTCCATTCGGCTCTGGGGGTCAACTGGGCACGGCTTCTAAGGATACCGCGTTCCCTCCCCCGAGCTCGACTGGCCCAGCGACTAGCAATCCCTTCAGCCAGCCTTTCAAGTTGGGAACCACCTTCGAGGCAGATCCCTCTGCCAAGGACGATGATGAGAAGCCTTCTACCCCTGGCGGATCCTCTCTGTTTGGCAGCAACTTCGGCTCTGCACTGGGAAGCGCCGTGACGAAGACTCCTCCTAAGGAAACGACCACAGAATCGAACGAAGAAACACCGAAGCCCAAATCGGTCTTCAGCCTTGGCCAATCCACAACGCCGAAAGAGACTCCAGCGCCTTCCAAATTTGGTTTCCCACCGACTTCAACATCAGCCCCCAAAAGCGGCTTGTTTGGATTCCCTTCTCAGCCAGCGACTGGAGGTTTGTTTGGTTCTGCGAAGCCGGCAGAGAAGACACCAGAGGTCAAGACCGAGTCCAGCACTCCTCTTCCCCCTGATACGACTAGCAAAAACTCATATCCTCTTGGTGATTCCTCGTCTTCTTCGGGTACCGGAAATGTTCCTTCAGACAGTGGAAGTAAGGCTTCACCTCAAGTGGACAATGCGCCTCTGCCTCCCGATTTCCTTACTACGCCAAAGGCAACGTCAACGAAGGCAGCCAGCGCTGCTCCGCTACCGCCTGATTTCCTCAAGCCTTCAAAGCCACAGGGAAGCACTACTCCGGCCGACGAAGCTCCTCTCCCACCCGACTTCCTCACGCCCAAGCCTGGCAAGACCGCAGTGTCTGCCACGCCTTCGGCGGCGCTTCATTTGCCAGCAGACGACCAGTCCTCGCCCGAGGAGCTTGAACGGCCGAAATCTACTGCACCTGCTGCGGCTCCGGACTTCCTCAAGATGCCCAAGCAATCTTTGTCGTCGGCAACGTGGTCGTCTACCCCTCAGAACACGACACCTGCAGTAGACGATGCTCCGTTGCCGCCAGACTTCCTCACTAAGCCCAAGGAGCCTGTCTTCCCCTCCATTCCGACTGTGCCTGATAGTGAGCATGACACCGATCTTGAGGATGAGGACGACGATGATGAGTCTGAGGGCAGCGGCGTCATTGTCTCCAAGGATCAAAGCCCATCCATGACGGCGATGACCCCTACGGCGGGCATGACCCCGCAAAGCTCGTTCGGTGGTGTTAGTAGCAGCACCTACTCCGTTCCACGGACGGAGGAAGAGAGACCGCGGGCATCGTTGTTTGGTGACCTGAGCCGCAATGCTCCCATGTTCCCCCGACCGTCCCAAACCAGCCCTCGCTCTCCCAGCCCAGTCCGTGGTGCTGTGCCAGGCCGCATCATGCGCCAGGAGTCTGCTCGTTCGGTTAGTGCCCCGGGCATGGCATCTCAGATTCTTGCAGCCCAGAAAAAGCAGCCTCCGCAGATGGGGTCATCCATTGTCGGGAACAAATCCAATGATGATCACTTCATTGCTCAGCAAAGACTTGCGCGCCAAAGGCGGCAGGCCGAAGAGACCAGGGCGCTGGAGGACGAGGAGGATGATGAGATTCAGAAGATTCTTGCTTCCAAGATCGAGCCCACACTAAAGCTTGATGACTTCATCGCCCACTCAAACGTTGTGCCGTCAGCCAAGGAGACCATCCCGGCCCAGGTGGAGGCAGTGTATCGCGACATTAACTCGATGATCGACACCCTTGGTCTGAATGCTCGCTCTCTTGCCAGCTTTCTCAT